GAAATTAACGACGAAAAGGTATATTTAGAAGGGGTAGCGGGGGGAGGCGGAGGAGGAGGAGGAGGAGGAGGAGGAGGAGCAGGAGGACGACGACTACGAAAACTACGACGCACACGACAACAGCGACGAAGAACACGAGAGCGAAAACGACGGCGGCGACGACGACGAAGAAAAACGGCGGGGTCGCCTGCGGGGCGGCGGCTTGGGCGGCTCGGGGCGACGTCGCGCTGGCGGCGCGGCGGCGGGCCACGAGGACGCCAGGACCTCGGCGGCGCAGCCGCCGCCGCCGCCGCCGCCGCCGCCGCCGCCGCCGCTGTCGTCGCCGCTGTCGGTGTGACCGTGCAGGTCGTCGGCGTCGCCGCTGTCGTCGTCGTCGTCGTGGTCGTGGTGGTCGTCGCCGTCGGGCCACCATCGTCCTCGCCGTCGACCGTCGTCGTCGCCGCTGCCGCCGTCCCCCTCTTCCTCCTCCTTCGCCGCGGCACGGCCATCGTCGCCGCCCCGCCGCCGCCGCCACCGCCGCCGACGCCGCCGCCGTCGTCGTCGTCGTCACAATCGCTTCCTCCTCCTCCTCCTCCTCCTCCTCCTCCTCCTCCTCCTCCTCCTCCTCCTCCTCCTCCTACTCCTTTCCCTCTTCCTCCTCCTCCTCCTCCCCCTCCTCCTCCTCCGCCACCGCGGCCGGGAAAATCAGCTGGCCGGATGGCATCGCGTACCAATGTACGGACGGATTGCGGCTACGTTCTTGTCGGCGGTGCAAGCGGAGCCATCACAGCCGCCATCGAGGACGGAACGGAAGGCTGGGCAGCAGAAGGCGGACCGTCGACGGCGTGTGCTACACCTGCGACATGTGCGCCTCGAGGGTGCCCAGGTCGAAGGCGGAGGAATGGTTGGCTGGGCCGGGCGAGGAGAAACAAACAGCTGCAGCCGTCCCCGTTTGAGGCGTTCGTGGCCCCAGCCGCTCACCTGAGCCACCACTAACAGCATTTCAGCCAACTCTGCGAGTACAACGACGAGCTGCACGTGCACAACTACACTGCGCGGGTGCATCGCCAGGGAGCTGATGAATGACCACGCGAAGCCGTGCGCGGAAGTCCTCAAGCGCGCTGGGAAGCAGTACGCCAACAATATCAAGAAGGGCCTCCAGCCTAAGGGCTCCGCCGTCGCGACCGAATCCAATCGGCGGAAACAGATGACGTGACATGGTTGAAGCGGTTGGCTGTGCCGTTTGCGTTGTGGGCCTCGATCGATTGATCCGCCCGCAGCCTGCAGGTATTGGTGCCGATGGCCCACTGGCAAAAAAAAAACACCTCTGGCTTCATCACCACCACTATCATTCTCTGACTACCTACCAAACCACCCCAACCAATTTCGGGCTGGGGGGGGGGACATGGGTTTCATTGTGTTTTTCCATGTTCCCCACCCACCCCCACTGGAAATGAAGGGCAAATGGGGCCTTCGGGTTGGGTTGGGGTGGTTCGGTGGGCGGGGATCCTCGTCGACATCACCCCCATCACCGTCATCGTCGTCGCTCAGCTGCCTCAACAAGTTGCGGCTGGGCGGGCGGGTCGTTTTCACGAGCGCTGGAGGCGGCCACGCGCGGCTGCGGCCAAGGTTTTTGGGGCACTACATGGACTGCGCCGCGTGGCTTGCACCGCATGGGCTGCACCGCGCATTTTGCACAACGCACCCTGCACCGCGTAGATTGCATCACGCAGGTTGCACCACGCAGCTGGCACCATGTGGGGCGCACGAAACAGATCGCACGGTAAATCTTGTACCGCGTAGGATGCGCCACACACATTGCGCATCCGGAATGCACGTCGCACTGGTCGCGGTCCCCACTGGCAAACACGGCGTTTCTTCCGTCGCGGCGCGGCAGGGGCAATCCGCTCGCGCGCTCCAATGGCTGGGGCAAAGCATACTAATTGTTTGGCAGCACGAGAGCGAGACAGAGAGAGAGAGAGAGGGTGGCCCCAAACCAGGGGGAACGGGGGAGGGCACTCACAGGACAAGCGAACCAAAAAACGCGCGCCCGAGCGCTACGCCTGCGCCGCCTGGTCGGCGTCGCCGCCGTAAAATCCGTAGCACCGTCGCGGGCTGCCCTTCTCTTGCGGCCAGGTTACTCCTCGCCCTCCCACCGCCCAGCCGCAGCCGCCCCTCCCGCTCCCGCCATGGCCGCTGCCCGCTCCCCCGCCGGAGGGGGCGTCGGCGACGCCGTTTTCGTCGATGCACCCGCCGATCCCGCTGAAGTCGTCGTCGTCGTCCTCGTCGTCCTCGTCGTTCGTCCTCGTCGTCGCCGTTGTCGCCGCCAGCCGATCTCGACAGCGCTGTCGTCGTCGCGGCCGCTGCCGATCTCGCCGTCGTCGTCGTCGTCGTCGTCGTGGCCGTCGACGCCGCAGCTGCCGCCGCCGCCCGCCACCCCGCCGGGATGGGCAGGCTGCGCCGAGGCCAGGGCAGCGTTCAACGCCGCCGCGGTCGTGTGGTCGGGCAGGAAGTCGTCGTC